GCTCTTGACCTTAATTTGTTAACCTTATGGTTAAATTCAGTGACATCAGGCTCATCTGCTAATGACTCATCATCTGTCATGTAAAAAACTGGGCAGCGAAATTTTCCCAAGTTTTGGATAAGGCATATATTGCTATAGAAAATATTAGCGAAAGGTAGTTGGTTGTATATTTGTAGCTTGAGCTTGAGCAGTGAAGTTCGTAGGGTTAGCACTGTTGCCAAACTTCTCTATCAATAACTGTGCTTTGTTTACAGCTTTTGACAGGTTTTTGTTAAATAGGTCTTTGAAGAAACAGTCCTCTATAAAAGAACTTAAGTGAAAAGAAAGTGACTGATAAAATATATCGTTAAATTCTGAAATGAAGTCTACAGCTTCTTTGTATTGTATTCTACTCGTGTCCTTTGTCATTTTTAATGTGTAATAAAGTTTAATAAAGGAATATATTTTTTTAAAAAAAATTATTACACAGAAATTTTCATAAAAAATGAATATTCAGGAAAGAGTTTTTTTAAATAAGTATTAAAGTTATTACTATTACACAAATTTTATTTACTAATATTTAACTCACATGATAATTGGAAATAAGGCTATTAAACTTTGTCTGGCATTGTTTACCAGTGTAGTTGCACCCACAATTATGGTTAACACTTTCTGCTATTGTATTCCAGAAGTTTCTTTGGCTGTGACCAATGATTCTGTAGTAATACTCATAATTTTGTTCCCTATGCTGCTCAATTAGAGCAGCGGTTTGCTGGTCTGACCATTCAGTATTAGAATTACGATTATGGCAAGAGGTAGAAGTCTGAGGGGAGGTAGATGAATTATGATAAAAAGGGTATGAGGGGAGGTAGGAGACTGAGGAGAAGTAGAAGACAAAGAAGAGGGTATGAGAGGAGGTAGATGAATTATGATGAAAAGGGGTATGAGGGGAGGTAGATGAATTATGATAGAAAAGGTACGAAAGGAGGTAGGAGACTGAGAAGAAGTAGAAGACAAAGAAGAGGGTATGAGAGGAGGTAGATGAATTATGATGAAGAGGGGTACGAGGAGAGGTAGACGAATGATGATGATGAGGGTGCGAAAGGTATTACGATTATCATGAGGAGAGTTAGGTCAAGGAGAATCAGATCAAGGAGGGTCAGGTTGAGGAGAGATATTAGGTTGAAGAGAGGACATGTTATTTGAAGATAGAGAGTTAGGTCGAGGAGAGTCAAGTCGAGAAGATAGTCAGATCAAGAAGAGTTATTAGGTCAAAGAGAGGACATATTACATATGGGCCAATCATTAATTAATGATCAGGTGATATAATTTAGGAATATATATGAAATTTGTGATGATCTGCAAATAAATAACTTTCTACAAAAAAACAATATGGTGGGAATCATCGGGAAATCATTTTCCTATTAGATGTTGTAAATATGTGACATGTTGAAGTTAGTATAATGTGCTCTATTTTTATAACATTATTTGCACATTATTACGTTTATTAAGGCATTTTAAACAACAGTTTACACTGTAAAACTTTTTTTAAATATATTAATAGGTTTATTTTTATTTTTTAGGTATTATTGTTTAATAATTATTGTAATTATTGTATATTATATGTATTTATATAATAAACAGCATATTTTTAAGGATTATTCTTTATTTTTGACGGTATTTTATAATGGTTTTATTACACAAAAAAAGTGTTTTTAAATATTTTTTTTGATTTTTTTTCGCTTGTAAAGTAAGCATCTATTAACATAACATTTCTTAATTCTTAACTGCAATTTATTCAAATAAATAATACAATTATACAATTATATTTTATCTTACAGCAATTAAAGAAAGCAGAGCAGATGAGTGAAATTCTTGATGATAAAAAAAAAAATCTGAGATATTAAATCATTTGCACAATGCATATTGTTCAGAACCATTATTTTGTCAATTTTACGAAAATGAATACTGTTTGACCTATCATGGAGAAAATCCTGAACATGTTCAATTAAATGATTCTATGTTACTAGTATGGGCTAGCTATATAGTAAGTATATATTATTTTCCGTTGATTTATTGTTGAAAATTGATTGGTGTTAATTGCTTCTTATTTACTTGAATTAATTGAATTAATTAATAAATTAAATATACTTATAGGTAGATGATTCTAACCAGAAAGAAATATACCAGAAAACAAAAGAACATCTTTGTCAAAACCACCTCCTTTAACATCATTTATACCACCAGCAACCCAATCAAAAAAGCAAAAAACTAATGCTTTACCAAGAACAACCGAAAATAATCTTGGATCACAACCTATGATCATTTATCAAATGTCACAGCCGATGCCACCAATGTACAATTCTTATCAACATGGTTATTATTCAACAAATAATAGTATTGGAGATTTTCTTATGAAACTTGGTGATTCTTTTCTACAATATGAAAGTAATTTTATTGATAATGGATATACTGTTGATTTGTTATCTCATTTAACATTAGGTCAATTAAAAGATATTGGAGTAGACTTAGCTGGACATCGTATTAAAATTTTAGTAGAATTAGGAATTAAAATTCCAAATTGATCTTTTACTGTAGTTCATTTGAAACATTTTGAAATATATATATATTAATATAATAAACAATTTGCTTATTTTTCATCCATTTTGATAGTTTGTCAGATATATTAAGGAGTCAAATAATAAATTATGCATAACCCGCATGAGTAAAACATGCTTTAGCTTTACTGATTCTATTAAATTAAATGCCGTATTCAATACGTAATAAGCGTCATATTCTCTTTCTACCCATTCATGATATCTATGAAGGAAACCCTTTACATATGAAAAGCATTGCTCAATCTATTAAATAAATATCTGATATTGTTAATATTAAAAAAAAAAAAATGTAAATAAATGTATATAAAATATTACCGAATTAAGACCAGGAGAATAGGCGGGTAAAAATATTAACTTTACTCCATATGCTGCAAGAATTTCATATGTGCGAAGAGATTTATGTATTGAGCAATTATCCATTACTAAAATACTAAAAAATAAATTTAATTATTTTAATAATATTGAATTATTAATTTAAAATAGTAAAATAAAAGTATATTTACTAAATCGTGTAGTAGAAAATTATAGAAATCATCTTCATTCATAAGACCTTCTTGTATACAATGAGCAATAATACCATTAATCCCTAATGTACCTTCAATTGTGTATCTTTTACCCCTTATAAATGGACATTTAATTTCTGCACGTCTATTTGAAGATGAATAGCCATAAGATCTAAAAGGTGTTCTCTCATCTTTTGCAGTTTCATCCACAAAAACAAACTGTTCAAGTGAAAAATTTTTCATTCTCATAATAAAGGAAATTCTTTCTATTTCATTTCTTTCTTTTGCTTTTCTAGATAGCTATAAATATATGATGTAAATAACGAACATACAAAATGTATAAATTAATTACTATAATAAATAACCTTTTTTCTAAAAAATCCCAAAGATTTTAAAGTACGACAGACAGTTGAAACACTGACTGAAAGATTATTGGGCTTGTCATTTAAATATTTCTGCTGATATTTAGTTACTTTGGCTGCTAATTCATCTAAATACCAATCAGATTTTTTAAGTAAAAGCCTATATAATTTTTATTAATAAATAATGTATATTTATATAATTGTTGTAGTATAATAATAATATAAAACAAATTACTTTACCATAATTCTTTCCTGTTGCAATTTAGATTTTCGTCTTGCTTTTTTCTTATTAGAATTTTCCAACACACCATGTTTCTTATAATATCTTCTTACATCTTTTACAAAAGTTTTTGATACATGACACTCTTTTGAAATTTGTGAAATACTATGTCTACCTAATAAAGTCTTTTGAATAATTAACTTCCTTATATCTTTGCCTAAGTAAAAATGTCCCATTGTTTAAATTTTTTAAAGTGTAGTAGTTTATTTGTTACACATACTAATTTATAAATAATATAATATAAATATATTGAGTTGCGTGATTTTATTATTTGTTATTATTTCTGATTTTATTTTGAGGAGTCAAATAAACAAGTTTTTAAAAATCACAGGGTGGTCGCACAATTTTGCGATTGGAAATAAGTAATTGTTGATTTTGTGAAGTTTTAGTTCATTCAGACCAGGGATAACCACTAACGTGAGGATGTTTTTGGGTTTAAAGCATTCTGCACATAGCAAATTACAGATAACGGCGTAAATTATGCCAACAGAATATTGTGAATTTATAAAAGGCTGGAACCAGTCCATGTTTAGCATCAATCCAATGTACTCTATTAGCATATTCTTTTGTAAAAAAAGGTTCAGTGTTATCATCTTTAAATTCTTCTCAAATCCTACTATCATAAATATCGAATAATGCTTCAGTTTCATTTTTCCTTTCTGCTTACTTTCGACATGACATCTCAAAATCTTTGCGGCAAAAAAAGGGAAAGCTGCTGCTTGATATTGATTAGTGGAAAAGTCATTACTGGGCGAAATATAGGATTATAATTACTATCTATATTTCTCGTTAATAGATTACTACACATTTGTCGAAATCTTTGCATGCTATGATTTGGATAGTTTACAAAACTACAAGTTGGGATTTCAGTTGTGTTTATTATTTCATTAATGTCATATAGTTTATGACATTTATTACAAGCAGCAAATTGGGATATTGTTGATATCCCAATTTTTTTTTTGCGAGGATGGGAATGACAAAATTTACTTTTATCTAATGCTGAAAGTAAAAGGTTTAAAAATTTAAAAAGAGAGTTTATTGCGACATTCAGAAGTTTATATCATTATTAATATTGCAATATCCACAACATAACCCAAGTACAGACATCATCGTTAAGATTAGGAGAAAGTTTAGTCTCATCATTATCAAATTCTGGTGATGTAAAATTAATCTCTTCATAGTCGTCATCCTCCTCCTCATCAGAATCATCAAAATCAATATTTTGGTCATTATCCTTCCCAGAATCCTTAGAGGGTCTATTTTGATCATCATCATCCGCATCATCTGATATTAAATTTCATTTATAGGCATCTTTTTTGTTAAAAAAAGATAATTTCTTACAGGTAATGGACCAGGAATATCAGATGATAACTCGGATAATGGTTCATACTCCATTGCATAATAATCCATTTCATTGGCTTCTTGATAATTGATTTCTATTTCATTATCGCATAGTCCAGATGGCCCAGCTTCTTTATAATTGATACTTTTATAGCTAAAAGTATGGCAATGGTTATACATTCTGTACACATTGGTACAAAATCTTGCCCTTCAATAAAGAGTGGAGCTGACCTATATTGATATTAGCTCGCAAAGGTCAACCCATACGCACTGGGTAAAAAAAAGGGTATCAACTGGGACAAACCACTCTAAAGCTTTGAGCTTATAAAGTGGAAATAAAATATATAACTATTCTACTAATACTAATTTTTGTAATAAAGACAATATTTCTGCTAAAACTTCCTTGTTTGCTTTATTACCACCCTTGATGGTCAGGTGGTTATTATTCTTAGAAGCTTTCATCAAGGATTGTTATTTATCCTTCTTCTTAGACTGATTACTTATCGGAGCTTTACCTGTTTTACCAGATTTCTTCTTGTCTGAGATATTTTTAGCCTTCAGTTTTGATTGTGTTAGGAATGGAGTGTTGACACCATTTCACTTGTGGCATCTCCCAATTCTCAAAATAGGCCACAAGTTTTCTCCTTTCTTTGCTTGTCTGAATGATTTTAAATGAGCTAGCACTGCACTTCATTAAAAATTCAGTCAGTTTACAGTCTATTCACAAGGTAGCCATCATTATTTTTTCTGGAATGCCATGAATAATGGCTTAGAATTTCTCATGTTATTTGCTTTCTTGTAATTATTAAACTGGGGAAGGGCAAATGAGGATAGTGCTATCTTGACTCTAAAAGTTTGATACTTGTGTTGGTGTTTAAGCGAACACTTGATAGTATTACCCATAGTTTTAATTCTGCTAAAATTTTTGGCAAATCCCAGGTATACGGAATATAGTAAACTATTATGTCTCAGATTTGCTTTTGCTCCTCTCTGACAGTTTCGTATCTGGTCAGTATTTGAATAGCCTTGGGTTTGGATGATTTCTTTTCCTTTTGGGAATTTTTAGCTAATGTTTGTGCATTAGGTTTTGCTGTTGTTGATTGGTTCTTGACTTGTTTATCATCTGTAACACGCGCTTTTGATTTTTGTTTATCCTTCCAGGAATTTTTAGGTATCACAGTTTGATCAACAGGGTCATTTTCACATCAGGCAGTATTGGAGGCATTTCAACTACTGGATTTGGTATTTGTAATCCTAAAATTATATCATCTTCATCTTCATAAAGATCATCTTCAGATGACTTATCTAAACCATCATCTGTAACATTTTCATCATATACAACGTCATCCATGTCGCCAAAATTGTAGTAGAAGTGGAAAGCAAAATTATCCCATGACCTGGACGAAACATAAAGTGCTATAGAATATATTAGCATTACAAAACATCTGTATCAATAACTGGGCTTTATCCACAGTAGTTGATGGGTTTTTAGCAAATAAGTTCTTGTGAAAACCATTCTTTATAAAAAAACCTAAGTGTTTTATAACATCTTCAAAGAAAATGATACTAGAGTCAAAAATTAACTTTATAGCTTGTTTGTTTTTCTGTATTCTACTCTTATCCATTTTTTTATTTTATGTAATAAAATTTAATAAAGAGGATTATTTTTATAAAAAATTATTATGCAGAAATTTTCGTAAAAAATAAGTTTAGAAAAGAGTTCAAATTACAGATATTCAGAATTTATTTTATTCCAACAAAAGTAGTAAATCTGGACTAGTACAAATAGTAGCTAAATTGGTATGTAATATAAATACAAGTGAACTAAAATACATGTCTAGAGCCAGAAATATATATTCAGCGCTAGAAACTAAATTTCTATACCACCAGACCTCCCCCCTTTATTAAAGAGAAAAGCTATACCTAAGTGAAACTACACTGCCTAATCTAACCCATATGCATTGGGTATAGTTAAAGAAATCAACTGGGGATAGCCCCTTTAAAGCCAAGGGCTTATAGAGCGAAATAAAAAGTAAAAAAAATTCTGCTGCTAAAAATATGCTATATTCTAATTAGAAAACTTAACCATAAAGGAAACTAGACTAATTTAATTTACATAATAAAGTTAAAATCTCTGCTAAAACCTCGTTGTTACCTTTATTACGACTTTTACTCTTTGAAGATTTCTTTGCCTGCTTGGGTTCTTCAACTGGTTATCATCTTTAGCGACTCTGGTCAAGGACTTTATATCCTTCTTTTTAGGCTTATTACTATCCTTGCTTTGTCCAGTAACACCAGACTTCTTGTTTGAAGTATTTTTGCCTTCGTATTATGCTTATTCATTAAGGTGTTAACACCATTTCAACTCCTTACCATTGGTAAAGAAAACTTGTGAAGTATTTAAGGCCTTGAGTGTAGCCTCCCAATTCTCAAAATAGCCTACAAGCTTCCTCTTCCCTTTACTTGTTTGTATAATTTTAAATGCACTAGCATCACATGTTGTTAAAAATGCTGTTGGTTTATGGTCAGCCCACAAAGTAGCCATCTTCATTTCTTCCAGAATATTATGAATGATGGCTTAAAATTTCTCTCATTGTTTTCTTTCTTGGAGATTCCAACTTGCAGGAAACTATCTCACAGGTATACCTCCCAAATCAGTCATCCAGAACTTATTAAATTGGGGAAGAGTAAATGAGTTTAACTCTAAGAGTCTGATATTTATGTATCCGTTTAACTGACAACTTAATAGTTTTACCCCATAATGTTAATTCTCCTAAGTATTTTCTTAACGTCCCAGGTATATGATATATCGTATAAAATAATATCTCTAATTTGCTCTCGCTCATCATCAACTTCTTTGTACAGTCAGCTCACCTTATAATGAAGTTGCCGTCCCAGCTGATCTGACCTTCGTTATGGAAAAATTCGGTAACACCACAGCGAATTATTTGGTATATATAACGAAAATTCGTAATATTGTATAATGAATATTTATTGCATTATTTTAAAATTCGTTAAATATCTTTCTATATTTTTTAAAAGTTTTATTTAGTTAATTATGTATTATTTATTAATTATTATTGTTGTATTTGTAATTATCATACAATTATTATATTATTACTAAAATTAATGGATTAAGTAATATTAATAAAATTATTGAGATTAGTTTGTCTTGCAGAAATAAAACGTTGTTTTAAAGCTTCTTTTTTTAGCTTTTTAACAAAATTTAATTCATCTTTTTTCATATCAAAATTATCCTCTTGTTGCTCCAAATACAAAATCACCTTATCATAATGCTCGATAGCCTCATTATGAGTAATGGGTGGTAAAGGATCAAAATCTTCTACCTCCTCTTGATTATTGGGATTATTAGGGAGAATAGCTTTCAAAATTTCTTCATTGGATATCATTTCTGCTGTAAGTCCGAAATTATCATATTGAATAAATTCATCAGCAGTAAAAGGATTTTCAAGATAAAGTTGATCAATTAAATCTTGAACTTCTTCTAGTTCTCTCATATGCATTAGATGAACTTGTGTTTCAGCATGAAATTCTAAATCAATTTCAACTTCATCATCTTTAGGTAAAATACCAGTATTTAACCAGCAATTTTCAATTGTAGATTGCGTAACAGCATCCCATGCACGTGCAACATATTTGATGCACTTTTTGATATTAATTTCAAAGGGTTAAATGCCATATTCATTATAATTATCGAAAGTTTTAACTCTATTATGTAATAACAACTTTCGGTATTGTGCCTAAAATAAAAAAAAATGATAAAGTAATAATCAATAAAATTTAAGTATCACTGATGCAAAATAGAGATTAAATTTGCTCACCTTAAAACTATTGATAATTCCTTGATCACATGGTTGGAGGTGTGCAGTAGTGTTTGGAGAAAGGAATTCAATTGTAATATTTGTAAGACTTGTATTTTCATATAAAGAATGAGTTGGTGCATTATCAACAAAAAGAATAATATTTCGGTTTTGTGCTCTCATTTGAGCATCAAGCTTTTTGAGGTATTCATTCCAGATTGATACTTGCATCCAGCTCTTTGAGTTCCAGTAATAATTTACTGGAAGAGTCTTCTTATTAATATTTTTAAGAACTCAGGGATTTTCATATTTATGTATGAATAATGGGCGCATTTTTTCAGTTCCAGTTGCATTACAAGTAAACAAAACAGTTATACGATCTTTTGATTGTTTTGTTCCAGCAACAGGACCATTAGATATAGTGCGATTGGGTCGCATTTTCCAAAAAAGACCTGTTTCATCACAATTAAAAATATCCTTAGGGTCATAATTTTTAAGAATTTGGCGCAAGTTTTCACACATTATATCAAGATCTTGGAGTGGTGCACTTGCTGCTTCTCCATGCACATTATATTGTTTAAGGTTATGCCATTTTTTAAAATTGTCAACCCACCCTTCTGATCCTTTAAATTTTTCTTCATTGCACAAAAAAGCAAACTCCAAGGCTTTAGTTGAAAGAATATCATCACTAATAACAAGGCCAGCCTGGAGTGCATTTTCTACCCAAAGAGTTAAAGCCTCTTCAATATTAATAAATGGAAGCTTTCTTTCATGTCGCAGACCAGCTTGATATGAACTAAGATCCACTGCAAGCCAACGGTCTTTTTCCTTTAAAATATCACTAATCATCCCTTCACTAACCTCATACTCTTTGGCTAGTTCTTTTTGTTTTAAGGAAGGCGTGGATATTTTTTTAAAACAAACTTCTTTTTTTTGTGCAGCAGTAAGAGACTTACGTTTGTTAGTAATTGAAGGTTCATTAGAAAGTTGTTTTTTGGATAGGTTAGTAGGTTTAATTTTTGGCATTTTTTAAAAAAATATAAAAAATAAAAACGCGAAACATGAATTTTAATCATTATCTATTATTATTTTTATATAAAATTACAGAATGTGCAGTATTGCTATATTTGAAACATGATTTGGTGTAAAATAAATGCTAAATTGTCCTTTATAGAAAATTTGCAAAAAAATAGCCCTCCATAAAAAAAATTGCAAAAATCTTCGTAATATTTAAAAAAATTCGGTATAAAAAAAATTCGTTACAAAGCGACTCATTTTATATATAAAGTTTACACAATCTACTTCGTTATACGCTATACAGCATTTAATTAGTAAAATTCGGTATAACAAGATTTTTTAATATGTAAAATTCTGGACCACAGTGAAGATCCGTTGTACTAAAAAATTCGTTACATTAAAATTCGTTATAAAGCGAGCTGACTGTATCCAGTCAGTATTTGTGTTGCCTCAGGTACGATAAATTCTTCCCCTTACAGGGTTTTTTGGCTGATGTTTGTACACTATGTTTGGCTTGTTTATCATCTGTAACACACACCTTTTATTTATCTTTCTTCCGGAAAGTTTCAGATATCACAGTTTGATCAACAAGAGTCATTTTCATATCTGGCAGTATTGGAGGTGTTTCTAGTACTGGTTTTGATGTAATTTTCGTATTTGATGAACTAGTAGATGGACATTCTGATTCTGTATCATCACCCATACCACCAGTCCACCATATAGAGTATAGGCGCAGGTGGCAAAAGCATCTCACGATCTAGACGAACAGTAAAGAGCTATAGAAAATATTAGTGAAAGGGTGGTAGGTTGTATATTCGTCACCTTTGCCTGTTGAAAAAAGTTATTCAGGTTGGCACACTCGCCAAACATTCCTGCTAAAAGCTGAGTTTTGTTTATAGACTGTGAACTTTTATCAAATAAAGTTTTAAGGAAACTATTTTTCATGAATGAACTGAGCTGAACGGTTACTTCATGTAAAAATTGGTGTCCATTATATAAGACAAACTTTAAAAAGTCTTCTGCATTATTAGAATTTATTCTACTCAAGTCTCCTATATCTGACATTTTTATTTTATGTAAAAAAATTTTAAATAAAGTGAAAAAATTTATAAAAAAATTTTTGCAGAATTTTTCATAAAAATGAAAAGGAAAAAGAGTTGTTACAGATATTCAGAAAAAAATTACCTAAAGCAATAACTATATGGCCAATAGTAAAGCTCTAAATGGTTTGGATTGGTCCAGATTGGGGAGTAACCTAGGATCATACCAAAATAATTGGTTCATTTTGGTCTGGTCCCAGATTATCTTTTAACATAAACTGGATCAGATCAAAATTAACTAATTATTTTGGTCTGGTCCAGTCCAGTCCTATAATAAAAAAATGTTGCTTAAATTAAAATTACTTTGAAAAAACATTTCGCAACATTTTTTTATTAAATTATTATAGAAACGTTACATAAACAGTTTTTTATAATAATATATTATAAAAAACGTTTTCACAGCAGATTGCAAAATTGTAAGACCACCCTATGATTTTTTAATTTGAAAATTTGATATTTTGAATTTTTCAAAAACCAGTAAAAAATCAAGTTAAAAACCTGTTTATTCAACTCCTTAAATAAAAATAGAAATATATCATATGATTAAATATAAATAAATTACTTTAAAATCTATATTAATTTTAAGGAGTTAAAGTTATTACCAAAATAGGTATTTAAACTTGCTTTTTTACTAATTCTTGAAAAATTCAAAATATCAAATTTTCAAATTGAAAATCATAGGGTGGTCTTACAATTTTGCAATCTGCTGTAATTAAAAAAATGTTGCGAAAACATTTTTCTAATTAAAATTACTTTGAAAAAACATTTCGCAACATTTTTTCATTAAATTATTATAGAAACGTTGCAAAAACGTTTTTTTTATAATAATATATTATAAAAAACCTTTTCACAACATTTTTCCATTAAATTAATTAAAAAAATATTGTGAAAATGTTTTTCTAATTAAAATTACTTTGAAAAAACATTTCGCAACATTTTTTTATCAAATTATTATAGAAACGTTGTGCGTAAACATTTTTTTATAATAATATATTAAAAAAATGTTTCACAACATTTTTTTTATTTAATAATTAAACAATTGCAACAGTTTTAATATAAAACCATTGCGAAAACGTTTATTCAATCTGGTCTTCTTTGTTAGACTGTGGTATAAGTGTGAATATATTTTTCAACAGCCATGTATCTATTGCATGTTAAATATATTTGCAATTTCTTTTGTAATATTTGCTTTAGCCTGGAGGAAAATGTTATGAAATAGGGCTGGATATTTTCATTGTCCAGGGGTAGCCTGACAATTTGTCAGTCGTAGCAACCAGTATTTTTTTTACAATATTATGATTTTAAGAAACAAAACACTTCCAAAAAATTTAAAGAAAAAACTAACTTAAAAATATGGCATTCACCTCTGGTGAATTTTACTGGATGAATTTTGCCATGCATAAATTTAATAAATTTTATGGTAAAATTCACCATAAGTAAATTTCACCTTGATTTTCATAAATTTTTTAACTTTTCTCATTTTATTTTTTTAAAGAAAATCCTTCTTTCTTAATAATAAATAACCTTGAATAGTTAGTTTCTTTAATAACAATATGGAATTTAATGCTTTTTGTTCTAATTATCATAATAATAATTATGAGATAAAT